CCGCATCACATGCGCTTAAGACAATAATAAGTTTTGGAGAGAGTACATAGAATAGGAGTAAGTTATCAACAAGTCTCTCAATTGTACAGGGAGAAACCTCACCAAGAAATCTTCAGCTTCCTACATGATCAATGAGTAGAATACAAATAACTGCAATTTGAACTAGAAGATGCTATTCTGGGTATTACGTATTGATTTTCTGAAACAGATCCTACAGCGCCTTGAAGAAGATAGATTACTCATAAATTATCTTTGATAATTTTTAGGTTTCATATTCAAATCTCAATTTTAAGACAATTCCACAATTAACACCTCTTACACATTAAAAGTTACCTAACATTACTTTCTTCTGATATTGCATGATTAAAACTCTCATGGATCCAGATATTTGTTTATAACTTCATAAGACCGCAACTCAGAAATCCTTACCAAATTTATACCCTCAGCATACAGTTCAAACACACAATTCGGGATCCATAAATTCTTATTAAATTGAATTCCTTACCACCACACACGTGCTGCACTGAAAAGCCCTTTTCCATCATAAACAACGACTCCGTCTTTGTTATGGATATCAAGAGCAGAAACAGCAGCAGCAAAAGCTTCTTCTGATGGCAACATATGAGGCAACTGGTTGCAATAATTTGAATAAATATTTAGGTTGCCTAAAATAACTTACATATAAGAAACAACAACAGAAGGTTTAAGGCACATTTTTACATCTGCAAGAAAACCGTAATAACTAGGTAACATGCCCGTGCAAATGCCTGTACATTTTCTTCATTGATAACTTTCAGTGCATATAAGTTAAAAAAAGGGGGAAAATATTTTTTATGTTCGTTTCAAATCCAAAAGACATAATTTATACATAGTTTGTGAACTTCGAAGTTTTTGCGCCATTATATCATGTATGATGCAATAACCCATGTTTAAATGCAAGTAACCATAGAGTGTAAATGGCTTTCAGCATGTCATTTAGCTATCCATCTGTACAATTATTAGCATGGCTTCAACATATGTGACTGTGTGTGTGCGTATATATAATATTTATGTGCATGTTTATGTGTGCAAATTTGGGATGGGGTGACGAGGGGAAACAGCAGTGTAAGATGAAAAGTTATCAAATTATATGATTTCCAAAGTTAAAAAAATTTGACATTGTAGAAAAAGAATATTTATTGGTAAAATACATTGATCTGCACTATAATAGCTAGACCAAAAAGAAATAGCATTGATGTTAATGTTAAAATCCCAACCTCCCTTTTCCCTTGATCCCACTGCCAGCATAGGGATCCGTGGGAGGCTCACCTAGATCACGCTGTTAAATCTCAATCGTCCCTTGGCCCTTGATCCCACGACGAGGATGGGAATCCTTGAGAGGCTCACCTGGATGCCAATCTACTTCCATATTCGAGTGGATGATTTAGGAAAGATTATATTAGGGCAATTATGCATGATTTTAAATTTATTTGTTTCTTTATTAAGATATCTTGTATAGATCTATAAATAGGGTTAATTTTGTATAATAAAATTAAGTTTTTTCCCTCTCCAATTCTCTGAATTTAACATGGTAACATAGCCAGATTCCAACCACCGGCCTTTATGGTCGAAATTATGAGGAATATTGGTTCTTTCACCGGCCTACAATGCTGGAATCACTAGGATATATGAATCAAAGGAAGCGGAGAGGAGCATGCGGGCTTCATTGTCATTAAAAATCAAACGAAAGTCGAGCAGTCCAAACCGCTCGTGCCCTTTGTTTCATGCATGCAGCCAGAAGAAGTGCAAACAAGAGTCTCTCATGCATCCAAGACTGACTAGAGATCGAATAGGAGGACACCTCTTATGTGCGTATGGGGCAGAACTGAGTGGAGCCAAGAGAAAGCCTCCTCTCGTGTACATGCGACTGCATGGGATGAGAAATCGTGCATCTGGACAGACCTCTTGGGAACGGCGGCATAGGGCTATATCTTCATTCTTGCATGCAACGTCCATAGTCGACCAAGCAGAAGCGAGAGAAGTCGAGTACATGACCTCCTCTTGTGTGCGTATGAAAAGAGCTGAGAGTTCCATCTCGTGAGGGTCTAGAGCCGGAACAAGCAAGAGTGTAAGACTTGCACTCCTTCCTACGATTAGGCCAGAGGGTTCAAAGGCCTTGAGTGCGCTTGTATGGGGTCGATCAAACAGGAGTGTTCGGGTGGAGTCGGACGACTGATTTGCAATGGGCTGAAGGCTAGCTCAATCAAATGGTAGGAGATTTGCATGTCAAGTGCTGAGCTATTTGAGAAGTGTTTTTTTTACTGTTGTTCTTTAAGCTTGTCACAACCCTGAAAATATTTTTTCCCTACTGTCGTGCCTTCATTACCAGCCTTCCCTTGTGGTTGTTATCTTATTTATAACCAATGTAGCCTTCATTGGTATCCTTTTCTAGCGCAATGTCTGAAGCTAACTTCTCCCAAAGTTTTGATCAAATGAAGGACTTTATGGTGCACTAAGGGACTTGATAACTCTACTTTTTGTAGGACTAATTACTAAGCTAGGAATGACAAATATGTATTTCCCAGCTTAAGGGAGAGTGTTAAAATCTCAACCATCCCTTGTCTCTTGATCCCACAGCCAGCATGGGGAACTGTGGACGGCTCACCTGGATCACATTGTTAAATCTCAATCGTCCCTTGGCCCTTAATCCCACGGCCAGAATGGGGATAGGTGGGAGGCCACTTGGATCATGCCAATTTCCCTCCATCTTCAGGTGGCTGATTTAGAAAGAATTATATTAGGGCAATTATGCATTATTTTATATTTATTTATTAAGATATCTTGCATAGATCTATAGATAGAAATAATTTTATATGATAAAACTAGGCCTTTTCCTCTCCATTTCTCTAAATTTAAAAGTTAATAGTAATTTGGCTGATAGAAATAAACTAAGACATGAATAAAATAATTCCCTAAAAACTATCACAACAAAATTTACTAAAGAGAGGAGGGCCAGGTGAGACGATAAATCCAACACCCTAGGAAGATTAATATAGGTTCAATTGACTTAATACATCACTATTTTACAAGCCTCAGTTAGCTATCTTTTCTAAAAGTAGGTTATTTAGGTTTTATATAACGATCTCTCGCAAACCTTGAGAGGAAGTTCCTCATCGCAATAAAGTTCTGATCACCTAATATAATATTCTTGTTAAATAACTTTAAACTAATGCCGAGTCCGTTAGATAATTAAACTAGATGACCTCATTGCAATAAAACACATGAAGCAAAGTTGAAAACAAGAATCACGTATACTAACCATTGAAGAAGTTAACAATTATCAGGTTTTTTAATAGCATGACACTAAGTCAAGAGTTACTAACTGTTTTAGGCAAGCAATTATGGCTATGAAAAACCCATAGAAGTAATGCAATTTTGATTAAGGATGAAGACGTTAAAGAAATACAATTATTTTAGATAAGTATAATAAACAAGATAACAAAGTATTATAGATTGATTAAAAAAATTACGGTCGAATTAGCTATGAAAAATATACATAAAGTTAAGGCTATAAATCAATATTAGATATCTATTGAGATTTGTCTAGTTATAGAGAATATTATAGTGATTTGATTAGAAAATGCTTTTAATAGAATTTTGAAAGCTAGGATGATGTGGAATGAGTGAATGAATTATGAAAGCTAAGATGATGTGGAATGAGTGAATGAAGTATTTTGGTACTATTACAAACAAACAAGAAGTTCAAGATTATACAACTATAGATAATCTTACACTTAAAACAAATGGTGGGGGAAATGATGTTAAACCTGATCAAGATCCCATGGTTGCAACATCTCATGTTATCGTGGTTCCTAATCTATTTAATCAAAGGAAGTAGTGGACCTAAGTGACCGAAAGATCATTATCGGTAGCCATGGGTTGCTTCATCTAAGAGTACCTTGCAGATTTACGGTAGATGTTTGTCTAATGTGATAAATTCAAGCCGATCTTAACTAACAGAGATCTTTGTGCCCTATCAAATACACCCTATGATTTTAGTCATTGGGAAATTTACGAGCTCAAACCATGATAGTAATTTAATGGTGTCTATCTGCGGCAAAATCACCCGGTCAAAGGTCCCCAGTCATAATCATTTATGTTATGTCATTTTGAGGCAAATTATAGATTAAAGAACATGTTTTACATACTTACTGACAAAAGATAGTTTGATAATGAATTTTAGGGATATTTTCGACAAAAAGTTGGCTTTCGTGAGCTGAAATTATTCTCAAATTTATCACGTCCGACAAATAGTTGCAATTAATGAATGAATTTTTCTTTAAGTTTTAAGGGATAGATTTTACTTAAGGATTTTAAATCTTGATAAATGTTGAATTATACATTTTTCTTGAAATTTAAACCCTGAGCGATTAACTTTGAAAATAATGGCATTTTGAAAATAAGAACTACTTAAATTTACTTCCAATTCGGCCATCATTGGAGAGAGTTTGACCATTTTCATTTTTGTTATTTGAATTTTGACAACCATACCCACTTTCTGGCAAAGAATGGAGTTTGATTTGAATTCATATGGCATTGTGATAATAGCCTCCTCCAGTTAAGATTCACTTTCAACACGATTATCATCGGGGGTTTTAAGTAATTTTATTTTATCATTTGAGCCTTATCATCTTTGCAAACTTGTTGGCCAAGAACTAAGTTTGATTTGAATTCGTATGAAATAAATCAATCCCCTCCGGTGGAGATCACATTCGACACAATCATCATCAAGAATTTAAAAAAAAAATTATTAAGCTATATGAACCTTTTAATTTTGCTTACCTGCCAACAGGGATTCAACTATTGATTTTGTGAAAACTTATACAAACATTATATCAAGAGTTTATATTTTTGTAATGAATTTTCTTTCACAAAGGCATTGAAGGCTTAGTGCAAACGTGAAACCAAATATCTTGATTGATTTCTTGGTCATACATTCACCCATTAATTCATGTCTTGTCGATTCCAATCCTTTCAAGTAAGAGGATTGAGCTTAAATTTTAAGTTTACATTTAACCTGCGCAATACTATTGAACTTTGGATTCAACTTTTGATTTTGTGAATGGTTATTTGAACATTATTTTGAGAGTTTGTATTTTTGTAATGAATTGCTTTCACAAAGGCATTAAAGTCCTAATGCAAACATGAAATCAAACATCTTGATTGATTTCACGCTTATACATTCGCCTATTAATTCAAGTCTTATTGACTTCAGCCTTTCAAGTAAGAGGATTGAACTTGAAATTTAAGTTCACATTTAACCTGCGCAGGATTGTTAAACATTGGGTTTAGGAACTGAATGTATTAGTCAAAGCATATGTGGGTGCTTAAATTTGAGAAGAGATCTTAATTTAACTTAGTTTTAACCCCACACAGCATTCTTAAATTCATTTTCGAGTATTAACGCACACTTCTCAAAGCACATAGGGATATTAGAATTTACTTTTAAATGGTATATACGCTTTCTATGCACTTGCACTGGATGTTCACATACTTTCAATGTATTTGTACGCATTTTGGTACGCTCACGCGATGCGCTTACATGCTTGTTTATGCATTTGCCTAATGTATTTATAGCTTTCAATGTACTAGTAAGTCTTTTCGAACAACTACATGCAATGCACTTGCATGAATTTCGGTGAACTTTTATGGTGCATTTGCATGCTTTAAACACACTCACGTGATGCATTTGCATAGTGTGTAAGAATGCTTGTCATTATTCCCTGAATTTTCTTCTATTAAAATAATGATGCCCTTTTCAAAGTTGTATCATGCCTCTCGATGCATTATCACGCTTCTCGAGGAGGTACTATGCATGCCAAGACAACTATATGCTTCTTGAGATAATGACTCACTTCTCGAGGTAAAAGCATACTTCACAGGGTTGTTGAATGCTTCACAATGCTGTTGCACATTTCTCTAGGAACTAGTTTGCTTCTTAAGACTACTCACCAAGGCAATGGCAACTGTTGAATGCTTCCTAAGGTTGTAGTACGCTTCATAGAGCTATTACACATTTCTCAAGGAACCAATTTGCTTCTTAAGACAATACTCATCAAGGTGGTGGCATATTTCTCAAGGCAATGACACGCTTATCGAGGTCGCATGCTTAAATCTAAAAAATTACATTTTGATGCATGTGAAATTTTAAAATATTTTTTTGATTGTTTGCGCAAGCATTTGTCTCATGCTTTTTGTCTGCTTGCGTGTATGTATTGGGATCTGGTAACGTTGAAGGCGAGTTAGATTCTATTTCAACTTTCCTTAGCTTTCAAAGGAGATAAAATTTGTCTGTACATATATTAAATTAAAGGGAGCGAGACCCATGTTGCATCTTTTTCTTTTTCTTTTTCTTTTTCGTGTAGTGTGAAACAATACAATCACTAGATATAGATGACTTAATCAACAAAGAGTCATGAAAACCATGTTGGACTCAATTCTCTATAGGAACAATATACTGCAAAAATATCCCATTGCCCGCCTGCAGTCCACCACTAGTTGCAACCTTTATCTGAAAAATCCCAAAAGTTAACCACAAAATAGGTTCTAGCTACACAAAGAGACCAAGTAGCCGCATGGTTCAAGAATCCATTGTCAAATAAAATTGCATCATAGTGTTTTTAGGAAAACTTTACAACTATCAATTTTTGCAGTAATCCTAAGCACACCTCCAAGCTAGCTAGCTAAGGTTTAACTAAGAAACTGGCATGGATTTAAATGGTTGAAGACCTTATGCAACAAAGTCAACATAATAAGCAAGGTATGTGATGGACCGGCTTTGGATGGACCGGTTCACTCGGTCCATCCACCCAGACCCACGCGGGTCTACAGGCGGAGAGGGGGCGGGCGGACGATCCCGAAGGAGGCCCCATGGGCCCACCTTTTGATCAAACGGCTAAGGAGGGGGGGCGGAATCCTGAGGGGAGATGGAGGGTGGATTGGGAGGGATAATTTAGGGATGTGTTGGGATATTGGGGTGGTATGAAAGGGGGATTAGGGTTCATTTTTTGGGAATCTTGCTAAGAAAAGTCTCTTCTAGTTTTCTCTTGCTTTTATAGGGTTTATTGTGGGAGATCTTGTCCTTCTCGAAGTGGACAACTTATCTTGTTTTATTTTTGGATTTCAATGCGAATGCTCTTGTCCTACATCTCATTTCTCTTGTGAGTGTTTTATTTGCATTTGGTGGACAAATTCTTCTCTTGTGAGAATAATTAGGGCAAAGACAATTTGGTGAAATCTAGGGTGTATCAATTTGGTATCAGAGCTCTCGATCCTAGACGGTATGGCATCAAAGAAGGTAGAAGTTTTGGAGGGAGAGATGGGCCAACTGAAAGAGGAAGTGGGTGAGAAACTTTCTTCGTTGGAGGGAAAATTCTCAACCCTAGAGGAGAGATTTGGGGGAATGGAAGAGATGATCCGGAAATTGTTAGAAGCCCAAGTTACTCCATCAAATCCTAAGGAAAAAGGGAAATCTCCGGTGACGAACCCTAACCCTAACCCTAATTTTCCAATTATGGAAGAAGGAGTAAACCAGAGTGAAGAGGGCATGCAAAGGCAATGGTCAAGGGAAGGGAGAGAAGGGTCTGGAGTGGGCGGACCATGGGGGATGGCCGGTGGTCAAGGGGGCCGGCCGTACATAGGCTCGGTGGGCCCTCACTGTCACGCCCCAAGATCTAACTTGGAAAGAATGTCAATCAATTTCTCAAAACAATTTACCATAGTTATCTAAAACCTTCAATTAAACAGTCTATCAAAT